CCGCGGTGACGCACTTGGAAACGTCCGCAATGTGCATGTGCCGCAGCTCCATCCACAGGTCATCGTCCTCGTCCAGCAGCACGGCCTTCTCGCGTGCCTCGCTCAGCCCCGTGGTCTCGTATCTGGGAGAGAGGAGGAGGGGGTCAGGGGCACCAGCTGAGGGCCAGGGTCCCAGGTCCGTGGTGGTGGAAGGGTCCATGTTCCCGGCCTGCCCACCTGTATGTGTCATGCTCGATGTCCAGCAGGTCATAGGCCATGGCCTGGAATGTGAGCTCGTGCAGCAGTGGGGACACAGGGTCAGCTGCCCGGTCCATGATGAGCAGCTGGGAGCGGGTCTTCTCAGGGCCCTGGTGGGGGGAGGGGAAGGGGTGATGACACTGACTTTGACCCTGGCAGGCCGCATCCCTCCCCAGCATTCTCCCTCACCTCTCCCAGGCTGGGCGTGTCGGCCTTGAAGGCGTTCAGCTTGGCCAGGACTGCGTGGGCTAGCTGGGCTGTGTCCTCTGGGCCCCTGGGGGGAGAGAGGCCAGACACCAAGCATCAGGGTGTGGGGTGGAGAGTGCCAGGCACAGACTGGGATGGGGTTGAATAGCCAAGCCAGAGACCAGGGTGAAGACTGGGCCTGGGTTCAGAAGAGGTGAAAGGTTGGCTGCAGGATGGGGTCAAGTTCAGGGGCAGCACTGGGGTGGGGTCCCCACTTGCGGTAGCGGATGGCCGGGTACTCCTGCAGCGTGGCACACAGGGTGGCGATCTGCTGGGCCAGCACCTCGAGCTGCCGCGTCCGCTCCCCCGCTCGGAATGGGCAGTATAGATTGTAGGTGCTGTGGGGGGCATCCAGGGAGAACACCTGGGAGGGCCAGAGCCACCCAGTAAGTGCACACCTGCCCAACTTCCAGCCACCAGCACCTGCCTCTCTCTGGGGCAGGCAGGGGACAGCCCTCAACCCAGGCCTGGGGGAGTTGGGGGATCAATACCCCAGCTCCCTCCCCCTAGGGTGGGACAAGGAGGAGGGCTCCACAATGCTGCTGCTGCTGCATTCCTGTGGCTCCCCGGTGGGTGGGAGAGAACCCCGAGTGTCCACAGGCAAACGCTCCTTCCCCTTCGTACTCCCTGTGGGCACTCGCTTTCCTCATGCTCAAATCCTTGTCTCAGTGTCCGTTTCTGAGAGAACCTGCGGACATTTGGTCCTGGGCCCCCGCCTCTGCCCATGCCTAGCCTGGCCGTACCTGGGCCTCGTAGGGTAGGAAGGCAAGGTGGATCTCTTTCAGCGTCTTCAATGCCTTGGCTAGCCGAGAGCGGCCCAGCTCACTGAACAGGGGCTCAGGGCAGGCTGAGGTGGACAGGGGGGGTGTCAGGCCAGAGGAGCCCCACACCCCCTCATCCTGGCTCCCGTGCCCCAGGCCCTCCCCACTTACTGTCAGTGAAGAAGACATGGGCTGCTTTGTAGGTGAAGGTCGGGGTGCCCCGGAAGTCTGCAATCAGGGCCTGCACTGACTGGGGGATGTGATCACTCTTCAGGCTGGCCCCGCACACCTAGACCCGCCCTCTGTCCTGCCCCCAACTGCTGCCCGTCCATGCCCCGCATGCACCTGCATACAGGCACAGAGGCACGCGCACATGCCCACACATATACACGTATGCACGTAACCCACAAGCACACACACTCTTACATGTACACCCACACATATACACGCACATGTACACCTGCACATGTACACACGCACCCCTACAGGTACATGCGCACACATATGCATGCGCACACACAGGTACACATGCATGCACGTGTGTACCCACACACGTGCACACAGGCATACAAATATACACGCACACACAGATGCACATACATGTGCACACACATGCATGCACGCTGACATGCATGAACATACACGCATGCACACACACAGATATGTGCACGTAATGCACACCTATACAGATAGCTGCACACACATGCATACAAACATGCATGCACACCCCCATGCATGTGAATGTGCACACGTGCAGGTACAGTACACATGTGTACACAGAGACGCCCTGCACTCCCGCAGGCACCTTCTCCATGGGACTCAGCAAATAGATGGCCTCCAGACTGGGGATGGGCTCTCGCCGCTTGTTGATGTCTTCAACAACTTGAAGAATCAGAGAAACGGATACACAGGGGTGGGAGGATTAGGGCAGGGGGCACGTGGGGAACCACAGACTTGAGGAGTTGGACCCTTGGGGAGGAGGGTCGGATGCCTGAGGGGCCATACTCCCTGAGGATCCTAAGCAGGAGGTGGGCACCCAAGGGTCAAACAGCTAAATGCCATGTGGGCAGACAAAGTTCTGCACCCTTGGGGGGGGGGTCTCCCATAAAAGGCTGCACTGTGCGGGTCACACACATGCAGAGTCCATCCTGGGGGGCCTACATGGGGCTCCACACACAGGAGCTGCATGATGTGAGCAGCTGACCCCTTAGGGGCCCAGCCCAGGAGCCCTGTGTGAGTCGTCTGCACATCACAGGGTCCCACCTTCAGGCTGCACATTTGGGGAGCATGCTTGGGAGGGTCACACACTCAGTGTTGTGTATCGAGGAAGCCGCAGACTTGGGATTTTTGGATCATTTGGGCGGGGGCTGGGGACCCCACATTTAGGAGGCCTACACTCAGGTCCCCCCAGAGGGCATGGGGCAGGGAGTTGACTCACTGGTGATGCCCTCGGCCAGGATATCTGACATTTTGCAGCAGGATGACAAGATGCGCATGCTGGGGTGGTCCACGATGAGCACCTGTCCGGATGGACGGGCAGACAGACAGACAGAGGGACTGATAGATGGATGGACATGTGGGCAGAAGAGGCCTCAGCTGCACCAACCCCCAACCCCGGTGAATTAGGGACCATGGACAGGGATGACAGCCTCAAAGGCAGGCTGGGGTGGACTGACCCAGAACCCATCCCAAGTGAGTTTGCATAGGGGCCCGCCCACGGGTCTGGACAAGGGTCTTCAGGCGTTCTGCCTCACCCCTACCTTCCACTCCCCATCCTTTTTAACGCTGCGAATGACTCCGCTCAGAATCTCTGCAGGGAAGGGAGCAGTGGACTCAGGATGCTGGCCCTCTGGTCCTGCCATGCCCCCAAGCCTTCTCTGCCTTTTAAATTCCGTGGACTCTTCCCCCAATCCTGTGCAGTGGCTGCTAGTGTCCCTCAATTTACAGACGAGAAAATTGAGCTTCAAAGAGGACGTGTAACTTGCCAAGCACCCTCAGCGCCTGTGGCAGAGTGCCCAGGGTGTAAATAGCCGGGTGATGAACATGCTTCTGATAAACTAGTAAGCGGAAAGCCAGAGCTTCCATACAGGTCTGGCTGCCCCCACACTCCCCTATCTGCTACTTTAAGCTCTCCTGCCCTGGGGGTTTGGGCTCCCACTCCATCAGTTCGCCCCGAACTACAGTGCAGGACCCCTGGATTCCTTCTTTGAAGCATGCCCGGCTGTGGTCATCCCATCACCTAACCTCCAGACTCAGTTTTCTCATCTGTAAAATGGATCAGTGGTTTTCTGGTGGTCCCTTTAGTCCCTGTCTGGGGGGCTCCTTTTTCAGTTGGGGTGTTGGGGTTTGAGCCGCACTCTGCCCCGCCCAGCGGAAGGGCAGGAGAACGGACGGGGTGGTCCCGTTGAGCCACAGTGTCATGTCCACTGTTATCAGAAACGCCAGAGCGGAAGGAGCAGCTGAGGCCGGAACTACCCGGGGTGGGGGAGGGGGTGACCTCCACCCCTTCCCCCAAGAACCCGGGCCTGGGAGACCTGGACCCCTGGGTCCTCACGCGGCAAAGGGCTCCTAGGAACCAAGGAGAAAGGCGTCCACCCCCCACCCAGTGGGGCCTGGACACGCCCCCTGGAATCCCTGAACGCTCACACCACCTGATCGCTTACCAGCGTACCCAGCAGGTCCCAATCCGCACCTTGGGGCCCCAAGAGTCCAGCCCCTTCCCCCCCACCCCCCCCCCACGCCGCCGAACTTTCCCCGGGTCACAGACTCGGGAGTCTGGGGGTCCAGCAGGGCCCTGCCCCGGCGGACATCCTAAGGGAGTCCTGGCGTTCGGGCCCCAGCGCCTGCCGCTGGGATCGAGGGGTCCCATGCCACCCCCAGCCCGCCCTTTGGGTTACCGAAATCCAGCTTCCAATTCTGTTCCGCTCTGGCCCCGGGAAGCCGGGGGGCCAGCTGGGACCAAGCCCGCGCCCACCCCCTCAAGGATCCAGGTGCTCGGGCGTCCAGCCCGGCCCTCGACTTCCCGCCGCTAGGGTCCTAGCAGCCCGTGCGCCTCCCGTCTCCGCCCCCCAGGGGACCCAGGAGCCCTGCCCCGGGCGGACACTCACTTTCCCCCACCACCGCCTTCAACCCGGAGGGCGCCATCTTCCCCAGGGGCGCCGCCGCCGCTTCCGGGTCTGTCCCAAGGTGGGGGCGGGGCCTGGCCTGTCATCCACGTGGGCCCCGCCCCCAAGCACCTGGCCCCGCCCCGCCGTCGGGTCCGCGGCGAGGCCTGCCGAGCCGCCTGGAAAGTGTGTGCACGTCGGCGTGCACGCAGTCGGTGGGAGGGTACGCCCCGACAGCTCTCGCTCCTCGTGACACAAATGTAAGCACAGACACACGCTTCTCCTGCTTGTGTGCAGCAACGGGCAAGTGGCCTCGCAGGGCAACGGTTCCTTAATCTTCCTGGGCCAGGTGCCACTCAGTCCGAAGTTGCTCTGTGCCTGCGGGGCCAAATCCCACAATCCGTGCCCTTTGGGTCTGGAGCTATGACCCCTATGCCTTCTGTGTGCCCGAGTTTAGCAGAATGCAGGAGCATCTGATAAACTCTGGAGGAAGCCTGGAATGGTCCCTGAGTGACCCAAATAGCGCTCGGCTGCTAATCGAAAGGTTAGTGATTCGAATCCACCCAGCTACACCATGGAAGAAAGGCCTGGAGATCTGCTCCCCTAAAGATTTTTTGTTGCGTGTCGCCCTTGAGTGGATTCTGACTCATGGCGATCCCATGTGTGCAGAGTGGAACTGCTCCATAGGCTTTTCAAGGCTGTGACCTTTTGGAAGCAGGTCGCCAGGCCTGTCTTCTGGAGCCCTGGCTGTGCAGTAGTTCAGAGCTCAGCTGCTAACCAAAAGGTTGGCAGTTGGAATCCACCAGCCGCTCCTTGGAAACTCTGAGTTGATTCCAAGAATCAACTCAATGGCAGTGGGTTTGGTTTTGGGTTTTTTGGAATCTTTCCAGAAGCAGATCACCAGGTCTTTCTCCCAAAATGCTGCTGGGTGGGTTCAACTAGCAGACTTTCAGTTAGCAGTGCTTGACTGTTGCGCCACCAGGCTTCATTCCATAAAGATTACAGCCAAGAAAACCCTATGGAGCAATTCTACTCTGTAACACACGGGGTCGCCATGAGTCGGACTCAAAGGTAACAGGTTTGATTCCTTCACTTGCGGATGGTTCTCAACAGTTGGCCAGGTGCCAGGCTCTCTGCCACTTAACACGAGACAGGCATGGACTGTATATCAGGGAAGACCGAAAGGGTCCCTTCCCACATGGCAGTTAAAAGTTGAGTGGGGGAGATAGGAAGTAAAGAAGTCAGGCATAAAGAAAGGGTGCAGAGACAGCGAATGCCTCGTGGGGGCCTCTCTGAGGGTGGTCCCGGAGGGCCTCTCTGACGGGGTGGCCTTTAGACTTTAATCTGAACGGTGACATTAAGGAGCCTCCAGTGCAGGCTCCAGGCAGACAAAAGGAATGGGCTTGGAGGAGCACAGGGAGGCTGGGGTGAGGTGGGTGTGGAAAGGGACAGGGGTGGGAAGTGAGGTCGGAGGGAGGGGTTGCAGGGGACAGACCTCTGCAGGACAAGGTAGTGACTAACCATCCAGATTTGCCCAGGACTAAGGGGTTTCCTGGGACACAGGGCTTTTAATGCTAAAACTGGGCCAGTCTGGGACAAATCTGAACAGTTGGTCACCCTAGGTAGGCGTTTGGGTTTGTTTTCTTTTTAAACAGCTTTATTGAGATTTAACCCTTTCAAGACCGAATTATTTTCTGCTTTTTGTTGATACCATGTGTTTTCATTACTGGAAGCATGCTGAATCATTGAGTGTTGCTGAACTTTTGATAGGTAGTATGGAATTTTTCTTTTTTCTTTTTTTTTTTTGGTCCCTTCCAACAATCCTACCCTGAGTCCTGAGGGACATACTTTGTCCCACTAATTCTACCCCGGACGCCCCACGGAGTGCAGAGGGACATAGTGTCCCAAAGAAAAATTTTCAAAATTTCTTTCTCCTACCAAAAATGCACACTTTATATAACAGCCTGTAGAAACAGTGATTCGCGGCATGCCCCTGTTTTTTCCACTTGCAGCAGTCATAAAGGCCCCCGCCTTGCAACAGTGTGCGCTGTCAGCAGGAAGGCAGCTTCCTGACGATCCTGAGAGGCGGAAAAGGTGAGTGGGCAACCGTGTATCCCCCCGGTCATTCACATAGCATACAACTTGCCCATTTAAAGGGTACAATTCAGAGGCTCTTAGATTTACAGAGGTGTGCATTCATGAGCACAATTTTAGAACATGTCCGTTAGCCCAAGGTGTTTGGGTTTTATCCTGAGAACAGTGCGGGCCAAGGGGGAGTTTTGAGCAGGGGAAGGAGGGGGCCGCTCCCCTGGGGAAAATGGGTTCAGGGGCAAAGGGGGAACTGGAAGACCACAAGGAATTCTTGCCTGGGGTGAGTCTGTACTCGGTGAAGGAGACCAGGGTCTTTGGCTCAAGTTGTTATTGAAGACTTGGGGTTCTAGAGAGGGTGTCACATGAGTCCTGGATGTGGGGGGAAGGGCACCTGGGAGAAGGGCTGAGGTTGTAGGGGGGCAGGTGTAAGGCAACCCATTTATTCTGAAAAGAAACGCTAACTGGTTTTGTGAAAGGCCTCTTGGGGAGGGAAGGGAGAGTCAGTGCTGCTCAGGGGAGGGGCAGGGACTTCCTCAGCTCCTCACCTCCCTCCCCAGGGTCTAGCATCCTGCGCCCACGCCCACGGGGGCTGGGGGGATGGGCCAGAGAAGACAGCTCAGCCCACGTTTAGGTGGCCAGGGGACAGGAGACTCCAGACCTCATTGTGTTGGCCTCACCCCTGGGCTGCTGTCAGGTCAACCACTGGGCCCTGAGCTGGGCACCCCGACCGCAGGAACAGTGAGTAAAGGGAAGGACAGCCAGGAAACCCCTTGGAATCACTGCCAAGGAGCTGGAGCTGGACTGGCTGGTGGTGCCTCGGGGCAGGTGCAGGGAGGAGGTTGGGGTCTTCAGGTCCAGCTGCCCTTAGCCCACCCCTGCAGATGGCAACTGCCCTTCCAGCAGAGGCCACAGGTGCCAGTGGGGGTGGGGAGCATCTTGGGGGTCGGGTGGAATGTCCTCACTTCTTCCCACGGTGGGCTGCAGGCCCTGCCCCAGCTGGCCACCCCCTGCCTGTTCACCTGTCCTCTCCCAGTGGGGCCCAAAGGCTCCCACTCCCCACTTTGGGGACACCACTTGGCCTGCTATACCCCACCTGAGAGTCCTTGGGGTCCAGCAAGGTCCAAACTCAGGTCACCCCACCCCCTCACCTCCCCAGGCCCAGCATCATTCTGCAGGAACAATTATCTGGATCATCTTTATGGGGCTTAAGCTTGGGTGGGAGCAGATGGGGCGTGCGCTAGGGATTTGGGGCTGGGAGGGGATCCATTCCCCCACCTCCTGGCCTTTTAAAAAGCCTTCTCAGCCACGGGGCCAGGGCAGAGGCCAGCAGGACAGTGGACAGAGACCAGGGGAGGGGAGCAGGGACAATGATGGCCCAGGACGAGAAGGACAGGGACTTGGCCCCCTGCACCCAGGTGAGCAGGCCCCACCTCCACATCCCCCCAGTGCCCCCAGGTCTCAGAGCCAGTGACTGACAAAGACTAATTAGTTTGTAGGATACCTAATTAGTAAGAGTCCCCTGAGACCCCTGACCCAGTTGCTGCCTGAGGGAGGTGTTGGTGGGCATGAGGGTCTGCTCACCCAGCCCCAGCTCCAGGCAGAGGTCAGGGTCCTCAGGGCTGACCCCCAGTGAGGCAGGGGTGCTGGGACTTGGGGCAGCCCCTCGGCTGGTTCTCTGGCCCATGCCCCAGCCCCCAGGCTACCCTCCAGTCAGGCATCAATCTAGGACGGGGGACACTGGCCCAGCAGCCTCTCCCTGGAGGGGCACCACGTGAGGTGGCAGGCTAGCTGGGCCCTTCGGGCAGGGGCTGGAACTGGGAAGGAGACTCAGGTCTCATTCACAGCAGCTCCACGGAGCGGCAGAGCAGCAGCAGGGACCATGGTGAGCGCCCAAGAGGAGGGGCGGCTCGGGGTCAGGGTGGGAGCCTCCAGTCAGGAAGGGTACTTGGGGGGCCCAGAAGCCCAAAGACCAGCTGGACTGTTTATCTGTCCCCAGGCGGGCTCCCCGGACCAGGAGGGCTTCTTCAACCTGCTGAGCCACGTGCAGGGCGGCCGCATGGAAGAGCAACGCTGCTCGCTGCAGGCAGGGCCGGACCAGGCCCCCGAGAGCCGTGAGAGCAGGCGGGGGGAACGGGCAGTGGGCATGCTGTCTGGGGGTACAGGGCAAGCGGCCATCTTAGGAGGGGTCTGTCTCGGGGGTCTATAGTGGGGATACAGTTACATAGGTGTCTGGGGGCAAGTAAGCGTCTGGGGGATAGGGGGTGATGGTTGTGCAGTGGGGGCCTGGTGGTAAGCATGTCAGGGTGTGAGCATGCACAGGGGTGTGTCCTGGAGAAATGAGTGAAATGAGGGGAAGGCTGTATCCTTGGGAGTCTGTGTGTCCATCCCCATGGGCTCCACCCTAGAGGGCGGCCCCGCGCCCGAGATGGACAACCTGATGGACGTGCTGACCAGCACCGAGGGCCGCCGCATGGACGACCAGCGTGTGACAGTCAGCGCCCTACCGGGCTTCCAGCCCCTGGGGCCCAAGGTGGGTGAGGTTCTGCTGGGGCTGAGGAGATACCAGCCCCCCAGCCAGGAGTGGACAGGGCTCTATTCCCACCACCTCCCTCCTCTGCCCTCTGAGGCTGGGTGGCTATCTGAAGCAGGCAGGAGGGGTGCCCAGTAAGAGTGCCCACCGTATGGCTCTGCCAGTCACAGGGCCCTGGCTGATCCAATACTCGACTTCAGACAGGAAGACTGAGAGGGGCCCCAGGTGGCACAGTGGCTTGTTGATGTCAGAGCCATGGCTGGGGCCCACAGCTCCTGCCCCCAAGTCTGGGGGTTTTGGGGAGGCCTAAGGGAGAGAGCTGGCACCCTTCCTGGGGCAACACCCCGAGGAGGAGGGCATGGAAGCTCACACACAGACGCACGCATCCATACACCCGTGTATGTCTTCATCACACATACTCATGCACACAGCTTGGGTGCCAATCAGGACCCCAGCGAGATCCCCAAGACCCACCGCCTCACACCCCCGACCACCCTAAATGGCGGGAACGGAGACAAACACAGAAGCAAGCTTAGGTATAGTGGGGGTAGAGCTGTGTGCTGGGTGGCAGGACATGGGGTTCCCACCTGCACTCCCTGTGTGTGTCTCCTCTGGCCTACAGTGCCTGGATCCCTCACCATGGCTGACCCCTCTTCATCCACAGGACGGGACACAGAAACGAGCCGGGACTCTCAGCCCCCAACCCCTCCTCACCCCCCAGGATCCGACTGCTCTGGGCTTCCGTCGGAACAGCAGCCCCCAGCCCCAGACACAAGCCCCCTGAGAGCCTGAGTCATCCCGGGCCCACTCGGCCCCTGAAAGCGAAGAATAAAACACTTCCACAAGCAACAAAGGACTGAGTATGTGTATTATTGTGTGGGCCAAGGGGCTAGAGTTCAAGTACATGAGGCCTCAGTTCTGCTGGGCAGCTCGAAGGAGCTTCTCCTCCCGCTGCTTCCGTATCCGCTCTTTGAATTCTTCCAGCTCTTGGCGCTGGGGGGGAGCGGGAGGGGACAGGAAGGAAGGAGGGGGCACACACCTCAGGGCCTGGACCCCTCTCCCACCACTCCTTCCCCTACTCCCCAGGCCAGGCCTTCGGAGTTCAGCGTCTACGCTAGAAGCCTTGTTCAGTTATGACCAGGCGCCAAAAAAGATCAAAGTCATCCTTCAGAGAGAGGGCGATAAGGAAACCCTATGCCCCACTGCTCTTAGTTCCCCAGTCAAGGCTGCGGGTAGTCTTCTCATTCAAGCCCCGCCCCCTCCATCACTTACCTGGCTCTCCTTCTCAGGTGGCCACAGCTCCCTCTGTGGGGATAAAGTCACAGCTGGGGGCACGAGCCGGGAGCCTCCAGAGCCCCACACACCCATGGTAGGGTCAGCTCATGGAGGCAGATGATAGTCCCCAGCAGGTGGGTGCCTCATACCCTCCCCCACCCCGCGGAGTGAACCCGTAACCCCTCAGCCTGTGCCCACCTTGCGCTGTATGACATAGTCCTCAAACCACTCTGCCTGGTTGGCAATCCAGAACATGGCCACGGGGAAGGTGAGGTAGACTGTCATCTGGAAGGGCAGGGGGCGGGTGAGAGGAGCTAGAGGTTTTACTTACACTCACGCACGCACGCGCGCACGCAGAGGTCCCTCAGATCCTGGAGGTCCCATCCTCCCACAGACCCTAGGAACACCTCCTTCTCAGGGTCTCTCCAAGATCGTCAAGAGTACAGAGCCTCAAGGCCCCTGAGTAGTGCAAATGGTTTGCTCTTGGCTGCTAACCAAAGGTTGGTGGTTTGAACCCACCTTCCACCACCGAGCAAGAAAAAGGCCTGGCGAACTGCTTCCATAAAGATTACAGCCAAGAGAACCCTATGGAGCAGCTCTATTCTGTAACACATGGGGTCTCTTCAAAGTCGCAAACCAACAACAAAAACAAAATCAACGAGAGAGACAGAGCCTCACTCCTCAAAGCCTACTCCCCATAAGCCAGTACACCTCATTCCTGGGAGTTTCCCTCTCAAAGACAGACAGACACAGACACTCCGGCCCCAGGAGCACAAGAGCTTCTCCTACACTTAAAGGCACCACCTCAGATCTCATATCTCAGGGATACCCCCTCCATCAGAGCCCGGGGTCACCCCTCAAACCCAAGAGATCTTATTTTTCAGATTCCACTCCCCTGAGTCTTAGCGTCTCCCTGTCGGAGACTCCCCTCTGCTTGCTCTTATGAGACCGGAGTTGCCCCAGGGTCTAAAGCTTTCCTCCTTACAGTTCCCTCCTCAGATCACCCCTCTCTAAGCCCCATCTTCAGACAAGCCCACTCCGAGCCCTCCCAAAGCAGCGCCCCCTTCTCTGAGTTTCCAAGCGTAAAAGTCCCTCTCAAATCTCAGGAGCTTTCTCCTCGAAGCGCCCCCTCTTTGGAGCTCCCCTTTTCAGAGCCTTCTCCTCAGACCTAGGAAGACCCTCCGGCCCAACCTCCCACACACTCCCGGCTCACTGACCCGAAACACCTCCAACTTAACCCCCATCTCGCTCCTCCCGTCTCCAAAGCTGCTTCCGACCAAAGCAGATCCTCCAGCAATACAGCAGCTCATTGGTGTTTCGCGGGCTCCACCGGGGAAGCTGATTAGTCAATGTGCCTCCGGATGACGTAATCTTAGGGCGCCTCCTCTCTGCTTCCGGTAGTTGGTGTCGCCTAAGCGAAAATCAACAACTCGGGCTGCACGATCGGAAAAGGTTCAGCCAATACGAGGCGATTTCTGGCTCAGGGGCGGGCTTTCAGAGGTCGACGTCATCAGCATGAGAGTTTAGCCTGTATCTGGAGATACAGGAAAATGGTGGTGATGGCGCGGATCTCGCGGCCCGAGCGGCCGGATCTTGTCTTCGTGAGTCCGCGGCGGGGTCGGGAGTGGCCTGCGTGGGGATTTGGGGTCCAGATGCCGTAGGGGATCGGGACCTGGCCGCCGGAGAATTTAGGCCAGAGCTATGTCTGCCCGAGTGCTGGGGTACCCTAGCAGGCCAAAGACCGGATCGTGATATCCGGACTAGGGTGGCCTGGAGTAAAGATCTGGTGTCGGAGCCGGAGCCCTGGTGGCCTGAGTGAAGAGCTGCTGTCGAGGTTAAAGGCTTGGCCTCCGGACCTGGGGCAGAAATGGGGGCGCGGAGTGGGGCGGGGCAGCTATTTGGATAGGTGAATCTTGAGAGATAAAGATCTGGAGGTTATGTATCTGGTTTCTGTGGCGAAGGCCTGGTGTTCTGCTTAAGGGCCTATGTCTGGTCTTGAGCGTTCGTGTACGGAGTAAAGGCTAGGAGAACCCTGGAAATAAAGATTTGGCGATGTGCATCTGGGATGGAGCTGGGGCAGGCGATGACCAGTGGGATCTTGAAGAGGAAAAGACATGGTGTCTTGAGTAGAGGCCTGGCATCTTCACTAGATTCTTGGTGTCGGGGTTAGAGGCTTGGTGTCTGGCCCATAGCTCTTTTTCTGAGATGGAGGCTTGGTATCCAACTTTTGAGGCGGAGTTGAGTTAGACCCTGACAGGTGGGATCCTAAAGGACCAACGGCTTCCTGTCTGGACCTGAGAGCCTGATAGCTGAGGTCCATTTGGTCTTCTGGGCCTGGGGTGCATTGGGTCAGGTGGTGGACTTGGTATCATCAAGGGCCAAAAGCCTGGCATCCATGAAAGGACGTGTTGTCCAGGGAAGATGTCTGACATCTGGACCAGGGCCCTGGTGTCTAAGCAGTCTTGTGGTCTAGGTCAGACTGTGGGTAGCGGGATTCGGAGGACCAAAAGCCTGGTGTCCGGGTGACAGTCCCCTGTCTGGTCTGGAGCCCTGATAACTGAGGAGTCTGGTGATCTGGGTTGTGGGCAGTAGAACTTTGCAGAATAAAGGTCTAGAGTAGAGTTCTGGTGTCTGCACACCTGGGGACCTGGCTCTGATGGCGAGCAGTGGGATCTGGTGTCTGGGGAAAGGTCGAGTTTGGACCTGAGCCCAGTGGAGTGCTTCTGCATTCAGACTCTGAGGACAGGTCTCTGCTCTCCCCTTTACCTGACCCTGGCAGGAGGAGGAGGACCTCCCCTACGAGGAGGAGATCATGCGGAACCCGTTCTCCGTCAAATGCTGGCTCCGCTACATCGAGTTCAAACAGGGTGCCCCGAAGCCCAGGCTCAATCAGCTGTATGAGCGGGCGCTCAAGCTGCTGCCTTGCAGGTGGGAACAGCTCCAGCTGCCCAGCCTGCCCCACCCTGTCCCCTCATAGCAAAATTGGCAAGTAGGTCCCTGGTGATGGCTGTGTATCCAGCACTGAATATATATCCCCTGACACATCACTGTACCTTCCCTGATGTCCCAGTCCATCCCAGTCCATTCCCCCATTGCTGAGACTTGTCCTCCCCAGGCCCCTTCTACCGTGGGGCAGGATGAAGGGTCCTGGGGGTCCATAAAGCCCACCAATCAGCATCTGTCCCCTCCATCCCCCCAGCTACAAGCTCTGGTATCGCTACCTGAAGGCACGCCGGGCACAGGTGAAGCATCGCTGTGTGACCGACCCTGCCTATGAAGACGTCAACAACTGCCATGAGAGGGCCTTTGTGTTCATGCACAAGGTGGGAAGCTGGGCCTCTGTGCACACAGCACAGGGCGGGACCAGGGCGGCCAGGGCCGGCGGATGAGTCGGGAGGTGGGGCTCAGAGTCCAGGGAGGTGGACGAACCAGGGGGGTTGGGCTCAGCATGGTAGGGACGAGATTGGAGCTCTGTTGCCTGTGCGCAAAAGATGTTCAGCTGGCCCTAGCTATGGAGGGACGAGATCGTGTTGCATCGGTGTGGAGGCCCCAGGCTCAGCTTGGCCATGGGACATCAGAGTGGGGCCTGCAGCTCAGACCTGCCTCTCTCTCCCACACCTCCAGATGCCACGGCTGTGGCTAGATTATTGCCAGTTCCTGATGGACCAGGGACGCGTTAC